CCCCCTGGGGCCAGGGAAAGGCATCTGGGTTCCCCATTTGAAACCCGGGGTTCCCCAATATTTGTTTCCGGTTCCCATTTAGGGTGTCCCATTTGGAGATTGGACATGTCCACCGTTCCCAGTTTGCAAAATGTCACACACATATGGGCCTGTATGTCACGAGACGTACGCGGGGGCAAGCAAGGGGATTGAGGACTGGCGATTCACATGGAGGGTGCCCACCGCGGCGGACGCCGCGTGAAGGGTGGCGTCGTGGGCAGCAAAAGCGAGGCGAGCGCGCGACAGAAGCGTGCGCAGTGTGGCGCTGCGGCGTCGGGCCGGCGAGGGCAAGCCGTGCAGATTGCCCGTGCAAAGGTAGCGGAAGCTTCGAGCGAGGATAAGGCTGTCGAGGAGGAGGTAGCGCGAGCGATGCAGCAAGGCAATGGCCTCGTGCAGGCGACGCTTGAGCACCTCGAGACGGCTGAGCGGTCGTGGGATAGGTTCGTCGAGCTGGGCGGCGAGGTGATTGACGGGTATCCGAGCGAGGTGCAGGTGGTCAAGTACATGTCGAAGATGTCGCGAGCGGCAGCGCATGTGTCTCGCGCAGCGCGGGGTGCGGCGCAAGGGCGTGCAGAAAAATGCGGTTCGCAACTACGTCGCTGAGATGGCCAACAACCTTTGGCAGACAAAGTACCCCGGGTTCGGCGAGCTGAGCGTGGCAGCGCGGCGTGAGTACTGGTCGACGATCTTCCGGGCGTACAAAGCCATGTACGCGTCCGCGTCCGCGCCAGCTGCGACCATGGAGGACGAGGAGCGCGCAGAGCAGCTTGTGGCGCAGACCGAGGAGGTGTACAAGCGGCAGCACGTGTACCGCACGGAAATCTTCCAGCTGCAGGACCTCTTCATCGGCGAGCAGGAGAGCATCGAGAGCGTGCACGAGGACCTCATTACGCATTCGGCGTTGGCCATCATGCAGAGCTCGGCGGCACGCATCGGCATGATGGCGAAGACGCGGCACGATGAGCGCACCGTGCGATGGAAGAAGGAGAACCCGCTGCGCGTGCGTGATGTGGTGAGCGCGCGACGCAGCGACGGGATGCGTGGTGTTTGTGAGCCGCTCTAACGACGCGTGCCGTCGCGCTCTCAGGTGCACAAGGTGCGCAAGCTCGTGTTGACAAAGGCCACGGGCGTGTGCGCTGGCGAGGCGACGTCACAGATGCAGCTCAACTGGCGACGGGTGAAGAAGGAGTACTTCTCGTGCACAGGGTGTGAGAGAGATGCTCAGCAAATTTATGAAATAACAGAACAACCACCATGAGCCACATTTTTGTCGGGAAAGGGGGAGGTCTGTGACCTGCCTAGTAAGCCGGGCATGCGAGGGCATGCGCGGCCTTTCGGAGCCCCCTTCCCCTGTCGGCTTAGTACGGTTGTGGATGGGGGGATACAACACGGTAGAGACAGAAGACAGAGGTGTCAGCTAGCGCACACACAGAGGGGGGGGGGGGGGCTGTTGACCCATGCGCACGTCACGCTCTATATGGTGCACACAGTCCGGAACCACACACGTGGTGTACCCCGGGAGGCGGGAGGCCCGCTCAGACCTGTCACCTGAGGTGATGGCTGGTGGGGCTCGCAAGGGCGATGGAAATCGAGCAATCCTATGGCGCTCGCCTCTCTTTCCGCGCTGACCCGATCTATCACGTGGAGAACTTCAAGATCATAGACATAGAGAGCGGGCAAGAGCAGCGTTAGCGGCAAGGCCGCAGTTACGGATAGCAAAGGATAAATGTTTCATATTAGATAGATCATGCACACTTCGTGCTGGGTGAATATTGCATCTTCCTTCGCCATTATAGTATGAAAATATTAGCTGCCTTCGATAAGTATAAAGACGCCATGCCTGCAGGCAGCGCTTGTGATGCCGCACTCAGTGGCGCACTCGAAGCGCTCGGCGAGCCGCTTACGCTAAGTCACGCCCCGTTGACTGACGGAGGCGAAGGCTTCTGCCCGATTTTGACTCAAGCGGCTAGTGGCTATATGGAGCACCACAAAGTCAGTGGTCCACTCGGCGAGGAAGTCGACTCGCCGCTCGGTTGGGTCAATCTTGAACGCATTCCCGAGAGTGCCCGTAAACTCCTCGGTTCGAAAAACGGCAAGCTAGCAATCATCGAAATGGCCTCAGTCGCTGGGCTGGAACAAGTGCCTAATGGGCAGCGCCACCCTAAGCATTGTACCACGCGCGGAGTCGGCGAGCTGATATGTGTGTGGCTGCGTCCCCAAGGCACCCAAGACACGGGCACCAGGCCGTCCAGGCGTGCGCTCGCAACGCGCGAGGCGCAACGTACGTGCGAAGCAACGCGCAAAACACAACGCGAAGCATCAGACGGCTCGGTCCCGCGCGCCCGTCTCTCGGGGGGCACGCATGACGGGAAACTTTCTCTGAGACCTCGCTAGATTACTTCTTGAATTGTGGGTAACGCTCCACGGGCATTATTACTAACGCGTGGACGAGCTGAACGACGAGTATCCGGGCGGGGACGAGATTTTTCCGGGCGGCCCGAAGGCTGCGGACCAGATTCCGGGCGACCCGGAAAAAGAAGTGGAACCCCTGCGTGTGCTGCCCGTGCGTCAAGAAGGAGAAAAGCTCAAAGGCGGACGGACAGGAGGGGGCGGGCACTAGCGCTTCCTGCAGCAGGCAGAAGAGGAGCGATCGTCTTACAACCTGCGAGGCAGTGGGGCAAAGGCGAAGGCGATGGCGCTGTGCGCTGGTCTTCACAGCCTTGTTATGAGAAGAAAATACGTCCTATGGCTTCACAGTAGGGTGATAAGAAACAAGAACCTCGCATGCGACGACAGTGAGGGTGTGAGAGTTCACAGCCTTGTTATGAGAAGAAAATATTGTTATTGAGAAGAAAATACCTCCTATTCACACAAAAACACAACCCCTACATGTATTCACAGCCTTGTTATTGAGAAGAAAATACGTCCTATGGCGCTGTGCGCTGGCCTGTGAGAGGTTGAGGTGCGAGCCCTGGAGGCCCTGGGGATGGGGGGGGACTACTTCACACACCGACGATGCCGGACGGCTCAGCGACGATGCCGGAAGAGACGCAGATGCATGCGCACTACCTGGTCCTGGACAGTGCCACGGTGCCAGTGGGGTGTGAATGTGAACACTGACCCTCACACACTTAGGGTTGGTCAACCATGTGGGTGTCTATGTGTTTCCCTCGGGCAGTAGATTCTTATTTCATCGTCAAAAAGCGCCCGTATTCACTTGCCAAAATCGCGACCCGGGGTGTTCGACCGGGCTACTGGAGTCTCCAGTGGAGAGCTGCGCGGCGCGCGGGCTAGGCCTAGGCAAGGCGCTCGACGAGGCGCCGATCCAGATGCCGTCCATCAAGGTTTACTCCAACGTGACTGGCAAGCCCTACGCCTCGGTCGACGAGATCCGCGGCCTGCTCAAGCGGCAGCTCTGCGAGCCAGTCAAGTGGGAGCAGGGCACAAAGGACCTCGTCACGCTCGGCTGCACCTCGTACGTTGAGCCGGGCCCGGGCAAGCAGCTCAAGGCCATGATGCGCCGCATCGACAACGACGCCTGGAGCAAGACCACCACGCTCGAGGCGTGAGAGAGGTCGCTTGTGCACGCACACCCTCCTCGGCGGCGCGATCTGTGCATCTGCACTTTTGCTTCAGAGGCCTTTTGCTTCTGGCGGGGCGCGGTATCACACGTGTTAGTTTACAGTTATGTGCAGTCTGAAACTGCAAACTCGAAACGCGAGCGAAACCAACGGAAAGCACAAAGCAGCTGCAGGCCTGCACCGGCCTGGCGGCCACCGCGCGCTGGAGCCTGGAGGTGGAGAGCGGCTCTGCGGGACTGCCGTGCGGCGCGGGCTAGAGAGTACGGGGTGTGGAGGGTGAGTTGACCAAGGGGTTGTGCGCCGGGCCCTCCTGCTCGGCTCCAGCCGGTAGACAAGTCTTGTCATCAACAGAGTAGCCATATGGATCTGACCTCGGGGCCGATGTGACCAAGCGCTGGAGCGTGGTTTAACCTCACACCCATGGTCTCACAGTGTGCCGGCAGTCGCCGAGCAGTGTCGCTCACACAGGCCGCAGCACAAGTGACTGAGGGCCAATGAGGGCGAGCCCATCGCTGTCACAGCTGTGGCAGCCGCACAGTAGGCTGTGTCAACTGTGCAGAGTGTGTGAGCAGCAGAGGAGCTGCTCTCCAGGCTTCTGTCGCAAAGAGCTGCATGCCGCCGAAAGCGCTGTCGAGGTTCGCCGAGCGCGGCGAAATCCGGGGACGCCGTCACCGACGAGCGCGTTGGAGTATTCACTCCGGACAAAGACGGGCACACAGCGGACGGTGCGGGGCGTGTGCCCGTCATAGCGGCGAGGCGCGGGACCGTCTGTGGCGAAGTGGGTCGCGTCCCCGGATTTCCGTCAACCCATCATCCACACCTCTAGGCCTAGCGCCTAGGGGCTCTGGCCTCTGCACCGCCTGTGCGCACGCGACGGGATGTTCGCCTCGGTTCACGGTTGGCGCGGCGCGCGCATGCAGACATCACCAGGACATCACAGACACACAGTCCGGTCTCAACCCCGCCACACGGTTTACACAGGAACTGAAACGGAAAGGTGTGTGAAAGTGCACGCACAGCAGTGGCCAGTGCGGCCCGGCTCCACCTCACCGCACCGGGTCTCTGTTCTCTCTGTGTGTCGATATGGACGAAGGCGCCGCCCCCACCCGTCACTCGCCCGGCACCGACACAGCGTCCACGGACTCGAACCCCTTGATCTTCTCCCCGCGGCCCTCGTAGTGCCGCTTGAGCGCCAGGGCGAGCTCCGACAGCTCCTCCTCGGGCGGCTCGGCGGGCGCCTCCGCCTCGCCCAGCTCGCGATGGAGCCAGCCGATGATCGCCATCCGCTTGGCGCTCGTGTGCCTCACCTCGTGCGGCACCGTGTCCGACCGGAAGACGACGAGCGTGCCCGCCCGCGGGGCGATGTCGACGTGCTGCGCGGGCGAGAGCAGCGGCGAGTGGCCCGCCGTGAAGTCGGCGAGGAGGGTGCCGCTGCCGCGCACGCCGCTGCCAGCCTCGAAGACGCGCAGGTGGCCTCCGTCGCTCTGCCGCCACCCCTGGTTCGGCAGGGCACACGGCCGTCAGCCGGAGCGCGGCCGAGATTGCGCCGAGACCGCGCCGAGGTCGAGCCTGGTTGAGGTACAGGATGAACGACCACTCTCTCGCCAGCCTGCCGACGTTCATCGCGTCGATGTGCCTCTGGTAGAAGCCGCCGGTCGGGTAGAAGGCGTACTTGAGCCTTCGGACACGTGCCGAGGGACGTGTCACGGACGTGTCCGAGTGTCTGCCCTGCCCTCTCACGGACGTGTCCCCGAGGTGCCCGCCCTGCCCTAGGATTCGGCGCACTCGGTGTGAGCCTCGGATAGCGTGGTGCCGCTGAGCTCCTCGAGCGAGCTCTGCAGTCCAGACACGAGCTGGAGGAGGGCCGCACGGC